AATTTGTAGTCTAAAGGGTTGAGGTCTCGGCTAGATGAGGGCCAGTCATCAGCTCTTATAAACTCCGGAACGTTGGTTTCAAGCCAGGCTTGGGTAGTTCGTGCCTTGTGACCAGGTGCAGAGTCCTGCTGGAAAGTCCACAGTACACACGATCCAAGACTGTCTCTTTATACACTTTGGCCGAAGTTTTCACTCCTTTTTCACAAAAATGTAGCTTTGTGACGCCTTGATAAGACATGCCCCACCAAACCATCACTGACGCAGGATGATGACCACGTTGTACCTTTCCGACCACTTGAGCAGCTCCTTTAGAACTATAAGCGTACACTTTATCATTTTGCTTATTGTAGTGCTCTTCAATCGTGAAAATTTTTTCATCGGTAGAGAGGATATTTGTGTGCCCTTCATCTGCGTATCGCGACCGAAGGTGTTTTGATCGATCTACTCTCTTTAATTTTAAAGATTGATTTAGGCCATGTCCTGTATATTGACGATAGGCACCGAGCTTCAGGTTTTTTATAATAGGCGACAGAGTCCTAGCGGGAATTTTCATTTGTCGCGATAAGATTTTTTTGCTTCCTAATAGGATTTTGATGAATTCTGGCTTTAAGAGCATTAACAGCCTTTGTAGTTCTAACAACACGCGGCTGCTCCGATCTTTTATGGTACTTGATAGAGGAAGTGTTGTTGTACCTGTTGATAGTACGATATACGAACATACGGCTAATACCAAGCTTTTGAAGTGTATGAAATATGACCGACGATTCCCATGCCCACTTTGTGCAAGGCGATCACCGCAATCCTATTTTCTTTAAAACCCCATTCCATATTGTAATTGGATAATGAACACGAAAAAATATGTGAAATAGCGCGAAATCGAAAGAACTTTTAAAAATAATGAATGCCTTCCAAATTAAAAATAATTAAAAAGTTGAAAAAAAGAAAAGTTTTTATGTAACAGTATTTATGACCAGACTAGTTATAATAAATAAATAGTAAGTTTTATTGCAAGACTACAAATTTTTGAAAAACTTGACCTTTTTTGATGTTAAATCTATGTTTGTTTTGTGTGTTGTGTTGAATGTTTGACGTCTTGAAATACCTTATTGTAGAGGAGGCTCTTCCCTTTTTTATGGAAGAGTGGCAAACAAGTATGTGACTCACCTAATGGTAAGTAACTACGACAACTGCAACACCAGGGAGAATTACAGGTGCGTTGCCGATCTTTTAGAAAGAGTAAGCTCTTAAAGTTACCTATGTTGTATCGGTCTGGAAAAATCACCGGTGGTAAAGGACTCCACAAAAAGTTTGTACGAAGAAGAAAACTCCTAGTGAAATGCACAATGGCGGACCGCCAAGCATCCAGATTGCGTGTATAATGAGTTTGGTCGCGATGAGCGTTCGTGAAATTTGACGGTTAGGATTAATCTATACAATTCCTCAGACCAGTCTTCGTGGTAGATACGACAGAAAATGCAAAGGCATACAACATCTCGCCAGGGAATCGAGCCGATCAGAAAGAACTTGGTCCCTTCGATTCGAGCATTTCTGCGCTGGATGCAGTCAAGTGGATGGAGAACAGTAGATGAGAACAGTATTCCATGTGAGGCCGAGGATTCCGATGCTAACTGAGGCAGCAAGGGGAGTGCCCTGAAATTGAAGATATACGACAAAAGTTTTCGTTTAGCAGTAAACGCGCAAACCTGTGTCTTTTGAGGGTTAAAGTAGACTATATTTACTCGTCCTCTATCCGAAACTTTGTTTAATAACTTTTTTTACTAGAAACAAACCATTTCATCTTAGCCTTAATGGATGACAACGCATCTGCATTTTTGTTCTTAATCAGGGATAAATGTAGATGTCTATATGCCTCAGTATCCACTTAGTTACCAGACTTATGTCAAAGTCAATTATCCTATTAAAAATTACCGTTTACAAGTAAATAGAAAAAAAAAATAGTCAACAAGTTTTACGTGATAGAGCCATGCTGCAATTATAATATGGTTGTAGTACGAATGGGTCGGCTCAACCAGGGAAGGACCACGCTCTCACATAATACTAGTGTAAAGTAGCAGCACAATGCTGCTATGTTCCGTATGGTGAGTGTAGAGAACCGGAAACCCTTTGTACTGGATACGAGGCATTTCATCTTTAAATTTTTAGTTACCGCTTTCCATTTCCGGTTGGTATATCTTTTTAACTATTGTAAGCCAGTGTTTGACCTCTACCCCACCAGATAGTAAATGATGACGCAGCCAAAAATGATGAAGCGCACTGACTTAGCTTAACAAAAACGTATTCACACTTGCCTTGAACACAAATGCTGGTGTTCTGAAACGGTCAATGTAGGTATATTTTTCCCCCTTGCTAAGAATAAAATGTAAGGGGAAATTTCGACAGGCAATCGTTGATCTGTATTTGGAATTATCGTTTCAAATACTTTGCGGATTTGAAATATACCAGTCTGAAATACCTTTATAATAAGACTAGATGAGCCGGCAATTAGTGGAGTAGACTGTTTACTTGTCAACGACAAGTTTTTTTTTAATAGAATAAAGGTGACAAACGAGCATACAGTCCACACGATTTTAAGTGGATACCGTAGCCCATAAATATCTTCATTTATGCTCGATTAAAAACCAAAATGCAAATGAGTTGCTACTCCTGAGGACTAGGTTGGAATGTGTTATTTCCAGTAAAAGGGTCTTCGGGTCTTCACATAACATACGAAAAGCATAGAGCTGCTCCCAGGTCGAGCCTGCTCATTCATACTACAACCATTTTAAAGCTGCATTGCTCTACCACGTAAAGTATCGCATGAGATTGTTCTGACAGATAGCGATATAACGATATAGGTTACGCCAGGTGTAAGATATCTTTACCTGTGATGAAAAGCAACATCAAAGGTTAAAAACGTCTAGCAAGGCAAATCCTTCCTAAAGCAGAAGGCTCATCTCCTGCTGTGGACTTGAATAGACTGATGAGAATGAAGAAGAAGATCCGTGTTAATGGTAGGAGATAGAAACTTTAAAGTCGTTTATAAGTTTATCATAATAAAAGTAATAAAGAATTGGCCTAATGGTCAAGTCGTAAGATCCATTTCGACCCATGATAGTCTGGAAAAGGGACCATGGAAATGCTAGATGTGGCCTCTAATTGGTGGTGATATAACCGTTCCGCATATTCCAGATGTACTAAAATACCTAGAGCCAAGATGGGAAGCAGCATCAATGACACGAGACCAATACTAATATAAGATACTCAGATCATCAATGTACCTACTAAGCAAGACGATTTTGGCAAACTTTTCCTACAAATGGAACTCTAACAATGGTCTTGGTCGGGCTCGGACGAGGAAAAATAAGTAACAATTTATTTTTATGATTAATTGCACTTGAAACGAATATTTTAAAATATTCTTCATTTTTGAAATCTTAAAAAAACTTAGACTCTCGGTCGGAGTTGGACTTATCTTGTCGGGCAATTTTTTTATAGGATAGGGTGTCAAACGAGCACACAGTTCACCTGATGGTAAGTGGTTGCTGCGGCCCATAGACAACTACATCTATCCTTGATTACAGATCAAAATGCAGATGCGTTGCCACCCGTGAGAACTAAGATGGAATGCCTCGTTTCCGGTAAATAGGGTCTCCGGTTCTCTACACTCACCATACGAAAAACAGCGGCGTTAACTAACTACTATTTCACGCTGGTATTCTGTGAGAACGTGGTCCGTCCCCGGTCGAGCCGACCCATTCGTGCTACAACTATACTTCTAATATTATAACTGCAGCATGGCTCTACCACGTATTGTCATAAGTAAACATATTCGACGTCGTAGTCATGATATAAATAAAAATATCTTTTTTTTCTTTACATAAGAAGAAATGATACTATTATTATACTATTATTTATTAATTTAGAAACTTTATTGTAATTTACTTTAAGGTCTGGCGCCCACTGGCGGAACGAAACACAAGGGTATTTTCGGTACACTTACATGCAAGTGCACTCCGACAACATACTGGCCGTACCTACATCTTTCTCGCATCGAGCTGGCGCTTTTCAGAAGACTTATAACATTGCAAACTTATTCAAATATAATTAGTTGTGTGTGTATTTTAAATGGTAGCTATACTTTGGACACGCGGCAGTTGTTACTTAAGAAAAAGAGAAGTAGGTATATTCTACAAAAGAAAACGTTTTGCGTAAATATCCTTTAGAAGCAAGGATTCAAAGCCGCTATCCTGCCTCAGAAACCAAATATTGTCTCGGCATCTCGAAGTCTGCTGATCTCGAGGGCTGTCGACGTACTCCGGAGGCTGCCGACACGTCATCGATAAGCTTACAGTAGCGTTGTTTTTGTAGCTAAGATCATTGTCATTAAAAGTTCAACTTTAATGTCATAACAATGAGTTATATTACTATTCATTGCCTAAAATATCCTAAAATATCTATGAAAACCCTAAAATATTATTAATATCGTTAAATATTAAAATTTAGTGGGCGCCTCGCCTTAAGGTGAAAAAGAGCTTACTTATGTTAGTCAACCCATGGCGTGGCGAAAATTTGTGGTAGATTCTTTAAAATAAATAACAAAATACGATAAAGAAATATTAATTATACCTGTATTTAATCAGTTAAATACACAAATTCAAAATAGGCGAAAATAAATACAAGGGCTGAAATACGAGTAGTACAACACATACATAGGAAAATATAATATAATAAATATAATATATATAAAGTAATCAAGCAATTAGTTATTTCTGAACAAGTTTATCCTAAATCTCTCAATCTATCGACGACCTAAATAGCAACAAAGTAGCATACATTTCGTGACACGTACATATCGACATCTAAGTGGACGCAGGATGTGTAGCCTAAACCAGCGGGTCTCGTGGTCTATTTGAAACTACCAAATTTAGTATATAAGCTGCGTACGCGCCGATAATTGGTCATACTAGATTCTTACTCCAGTAGCAACAGTACTCAATACCATGAAATCCCTCGTGAGTATTTAACATTTTATATACTAATAATAATAATTAACATTTATTATATACCTAGTTTTCTGTATTAATATGTTAAATATGAATTTACTTTTTTTATGACACTAGTTTTTTCTTATGTACCATGGGCAACCCGATTATAAAACAAAAAAAAATCTAGAATATTTATCAGTAGACTATATATATTTCACTCAATAATGTCAACAAAATCAAAGCCTTATCAATACCAATAGAAATTTGTCTAAATAATTACATTATTAATTTCTATCCCACTTTTACACCCTTAAAGGTGAAAATATCTCTTTAAATTTAAATGTGACCACTTTACCATTGGTATCTTGCCTATTTAATAAAAAAAAGTATAATAAAAGTCTATTCACAATTTTATAAGATATTGACACGTATACGTACAATCGAATTGAGAATATCCTGATTTCTAAAGTCGTCTAAAACTATCCACACCACAAACAATCTTAGGCCATACTCGGTGCTATCGAGCCGGCATTTCCTCTATCGTAATTCAGCGCCCTCAGTAATAACCAAGTATTCGTCTAAAAAGTCGCTGGTCCCTTTGAATCCCAGTTGATACAAATATCGGTGTTAATACGCAAACTATTGATTAGTCTATGCACATACGAGTATTAATCATAGAATACTATAATACATACATAATAGAACGGGGGAGTGGGCGGAGCCCACGTAGCCACTAAAATGTCACTAACACGTCAATTCACACGTATAAATGTCAACACGAGATGCGTTTTGACGTTACAATCGTTTCCAAATTTCCCATGCAAATTATTTATAAAATGCCAAACTGCACGCTATTTACAAATAAATATGTATTAAAATCCGTCTGTCAACACGGCGAATCGGGTTTGTAGTAGTGATAATACGACGTTATTGCTTGTGTGTGCTCCCGGCGACGCCTATCGTCGTACAAAATAAGGTTGACAGTCGTTCTATTTTGTATTATAGTATTCTATGGTATTAACCATTACCTCTTACTCTATTTCAACATCTATCTTTTATACGGGGAAGTTTTATACGTGGTAGAGGCATACTATATTGTGGATGTAGCACGGTTAGTTCGGTTCAACCAGGGTAGGACCACGCTCTCACATAATACAGAAGAACCATAGGCTTTTATTACTAAAAACGAGGCAATTCATCTTATTTCTCAGGGGTGTAGATCTCTATGAGCCACAGTATCCTTTTACCATCAGTTGGACTGTGTACTCGTTTGATCCACTATTCTATAAAAAAAGTTTCCGTAATAAACGTAACAAGAGCGTAAGATAAATCCATAAGCGCAGTAGTTCCCTTAGGAGTCATACAGGGTGACCATGAGGAACGCCAAAAGGATCGCATTGCTTCTAATAGATGGTTATTAAACGCCCCTCCCCCTACTTTTACAGGCTGACGAAAAATAAGACGAAGATATTTATCATAAGTAAATATCAACGTTATCTATATCGTATCGTATATTGTACACCAAGGAAAGAAAAAATAACAAAAATATACTAATGACAACAATATTGAATTAACAATGCTTACTGATAACAATACTTAAGTCTTTAAAATACTGTAATTCGCTACGAATAAATTCATTTATCTTTTCCAAGTATATATTTTGTACTGTATTTAGTCGTTAGCCGTATAGTTCATTAAGTTAGATAGGAGCTTTTTAACGTTAACTTAAAGTCAACATCAACGCTACTTCAATAACGAGATTTTACATTTATAATAATTAGTTAACATAGCAAATGATGTATTATTATATTAATGTGGTTTTCCACGATTGTTTACATACGATATATGGAATATTCGATAACCACCGAATTTTACAAGTTGTACATCTTAGGCACAAAGACATTTACCTACCAGTATTAAAACTAACCTAATAGTATTAAAGCGCTTTTTCAAATAATATATATGCAAACCGGGAAAATAATACATAATAGAGCTACGCTGCAGCCATATTATGGTTGTAGCATGAATGGTTCGGCTCGACCGGGACAGGACCACGTTCTCACAGAATACCAGCGTAAAATAGCGGCGTAATGCTGCTGTATTTAATATGGTGAGTATAGAGAACCGGAGATCCTTTTTACTAGAATCGAGGTATTCCATCTTAGTCCTCAAGGGTGACAACGTATTTGTATTTTGATTCTTAATTGAGGATAGACGTGGATGTCTATGGGCCACAGGATCCACTTATCATAGGTGGACCGTGTGTTCGGTTGTCACCCAAGGCTGTAAAATAATTAAGAATAAAAATAAACCATTTATTTAGTTTGATAAAAGAGATTTTACTACTAGGGATAAGAGGATAGATATACTTTCAAGAATCTTATTTTGTAAGTTGAAATTTTAATTTCAATTAAAGTAGTAATAATAATGACAACATCTAAACATTGTTCTTATTTCTAAGAAATGAAAAGGAATCTTATAAACTTCTTGCTACAAAGAAGTAGGTAATATTAAACATATAATATAAAACACTGTTGTTTGATACAACAAATTAGACCATTCCATTTTTTTTTAATAACATTTCCAGGTATTCTTCGCTCTCCTAGCGATGGCCGCGGCCAAACCTAAACCCGGTGGTCTCCTTTCTTCCCTCGGGGGATTCGATCACGACGTAAGTCATACAGTACTAGTAAGTCACAAAAATCAATGGCGTCATTTCGCGATTAAAATATTAAAGATAAAGTCTTAATATTTCCAGCTGTCCTCGCTTAGCTTGTTGCAACAGCCAATTGCATACGCCCAGCCAAGCTATGCCGTAGCAGCGCCTGTGGTCCACGCCGCGCCCGTTGTCCACGCAGCCCCCGTGGCCATCGCTAAGCCTGCCGCCACCAGCTACTCTTCTTTCCAACGGGTACACCTTCATCTTTCTATTCAAATAATCAAGCCTGAACAACTCCTATTTACATACAACAATGGTGATATATCAGACAAGAGGAGAATTTATTTTTTATCTTAAATCTCTTACTCATAATCATCAGCCCGTAAAACTCTACTGCTGGTTCTGAACCCCTACCGTTGTAAGAAGATTTCGCTTTTATCGCCACACTTGGTAGGCGGATTCAATAATTCTAGTGTCAGACATCTTGCACCTTTGACCCTACTATCCGTCGCGAGTCTGGATATTTGCCTTTTGTAAACGAGATGTATATAACGCCATCTGTCGGAAGCCATAGAATCTTTTTGGTGCTTTACATAGTCACCGAATACCCACGAGACTACAAAGGGCTAGGCATTTACTTTAGCGTCACAAGCGATCACACAATCCATCTAATATAAAAATTTAAACAATTTTATTAATATTGCATATTGAATTTCAGGTTATCCATCCAGTTTCCGTAGCGCAGATCCATGCCGCCCCTGTTGTCCAGGCCGCCCCTGTGGTCCAGGCCGCCCCTGTTGTCCAGGCCGCCCCTGTTGTCCACGCTGCCCCGGTTATCTCTCAACCCATCGTCCATTCAGTCTCTCAGCCCATTTACCAATCAGCACCAGTTCTACAGTCCTATGCCCAGCCTGTCCTCCAGAAATATCTGTCTCTGGGCTCATACGGTCACGGATGGTAAGCGAGGTGCTCTTGGGTGCGTTGTAAATACTGGTTAAATACAATTTTATTAATTTAAGCGTTGAGATCATGTCCGTACTGTGGGCGTGGTGCAAATAAAGTATTTCCTAATATATACATTTTGAGTTTTATTGATTTTCCGATCTTCCGAGGAATATGTCTTATGTATTTTTCTTGTCGTACCAAATTTATGTCTCAGTCTTTCACCGCTGAGGCCATAAGTTGTATACGTGGTAAAGCCACGCTGCAGCTATATTAGAGTTGTAGCACGAATGGGTCGGCTCGACCGGGGCAGGACCACGCTCTCACAGAATACCGACGCAAAAAGGGTATGGTTAGTGTAGAGAACCGGAGAGCCTTTTTACTGGAAAAGAGACATTGCATCTTAGTCCTCAGGGATGAAAACGCATCTGCATTTTGATTCCTAATTGAGGACAACTGTAGATGTCTATATGCCACAGTATCCATTTACCATCAGGTAGACTATGTTCTCGTTTGTCATTCTTATTTTATAAACATATAGAAATATAAGGCTTTGTAATGAATTACCTCAACATATTAGGAAATCGACGTCTGTCGCTGCCTTTAAGATAATGGCGTCTGATTTCTGTTCCTTTACCTTTCTTATTTCAATGGCTAACTTTCTTAAGTATTTGTGCCTATATATGGAATGATGTTATTATTTCTATTTAATATATATTATGTTCGTATATAAGTATACTTAAAATGTGTGTATTATGTATCATTTGAGAATGTATATACTATTTATAATTTATAGAGTGTCTTATGTAGCTTATTTGTGGTAACATGTATTTATAAGTGTATTTATGTATATATGGTTTATACCTATGTATATACCTATTTTCGTGTTTTATTGCACCCGCTTAAGTTTCTCTGCTTAACTTATGGTTAACTTGTAAAGAATGTCGTAAAGCATTAAATCCGCAAATTATACATTTTATATGCAATAAATATTTCATACAAATAAATAGATATTATGTTTATTATTTATATACATAAAATTATACTAAATTTATAGAAATAACTAAGCACTAATACGATAATATACTCCCCGCCGTATAGTGCCAACAACTATGTCTGTTTTTCTTATTTACTTCTTGTTTTGATTATAGATATTTTTTTGTTTCGTCATAAAAAAATTAATAATAGAAAAGAAAGTCTCCAAGACACCTAAAATTCATGATAAATGACACGATCAACATTTTGTTCTTAAAATAAACACATGGACGTAGCCTATATGGACGCATAGCCAACAAGCGGTCAATATGGATCATAAACACCTTTCTAATGCCTTAACCTGACAAACGAACACACAGTCTGGTTGACGGTAAATGGATGCTGTGACACCCCTAAGGACGAGCATGGTATGCCGAGTAACATCCTTATGTGTATAAATATTTTATAATATTAATCCTGAAGCAATGTATTAAATAATTAAATAGTTATAGTAACCAAAACCGGGATGACAAGATGATAAAGAAACTTAAGGTATTTCTTCAAAGAATACAATTAATGGCCAAACCAAATATATACAAATTACGCATCAGGAACAACGATTTACATACTGATGTGTAAATAAATAATACCCCGATCATAGTTTAAGAGCTAGTGAGCGGTAGACTTACGGTATTTCAATAAACTTCAGTTTTTTTTTCATTTGAACCTTCCACTAAACAAAAATAGAAAAAGTCTGGATTAAAGCAAGTGCTCTAGTAATTGCATATATGCGCCACTAAAGTTCGTTGTCTGCCTGGGTGATAGAACCTCAATATATGTCTGCCATACAAACATATATGTCAAAAATATTATCAACAACATATATAAATTGCAGCTTTATTGAAATAACGAAAATTATTTAAAAAATTGTACTTGTCAACTTATCTTCCATGACCTTGAACCTCCATAGGTGTCTGCCAATGTTATTTTTCGATAACTTTTATTGAATATTTTAAGATGTCAAGGCGGCAGACTTATTACTTTCAGGTTTTTTTTCGGTTATTTTTACACCGTCTCCATATCAACCGTCGGTCAAACTAAAAAGTCCCCATTTCGTGTGCCTCATGTATCCAATAACTGTCCCTTGGACTAACTGAAAAAAACGTGAAGCTGCCGCTCATCGGCTCTTAGACCATTGAAGTAAAAGAAATTTAATTTCTGAACGTATTCTATGACCATGCCAGAGTTAATGTATTTTTAATGTGATAAAGAAATTTTGCGTTTCTTAGATTATCTTTTTGTATAGTTTCGTGATGTTAATGAAAATACCGTTGTAAACGATATTTTTCTGTTTAATCGATATCTTGATAACGTGGCACATCACTAGCGATCGCGTGCAACATCGGGACATCAACTGCAACCACTATCAAAAGGATATATATAGGTTATAGTGACCATACTTCCGTTAAAAAATAAAAATATGTAAATTATTCGAATAAATTGCTTACGTAAAATACATTTTTTTATCCAGAATTTTTTTAAAGATTAAAGAAAGATTTTTTTTTAACCAGAATTCGACCAAAAAGCAAAAAAGCAAAAATATTTAATTGTCATTTTTCCGCAATACGCTGTATTGAAAGTTTACAAAAAGGATAGATATATGAAGGAAATATTTAAAGAAATCCTATGTATAAATACAAACTAAACTAAACTTAGCATAAAATTCGTACTTAGATGATTTCAGTTACGTTGAAAATATTAAAAGAAATTATTAAACAAATCATCAAAGTATCAAAATTTTCAATACATGGTCGATACTTAACAAGGCTCATGAACCACTTAGTTGAGACCGTGGTCGGTACATCAAAAGCCACCGCAATGAGATAGAATGTGGGATAGGACAAGGAAACTTCGCAGTCCACAAGATGTCAAACCGTTATTTACCGAATAGTTACAGTGTAAGAACAGCCACTATCCCATATCATCCCGCGGGTATCGTAAGAAATGACAAAGAAAATCAAACCGGGACAGCGTCTTTTCGATAACAACTAGAAAAAAAACTGCGGCTGCCAACCTGTAAAGCGTGGCAACCTTGGCAATTTACGGGGTAATCTATGGAGAGCCTTTTTTCAGCTGATAGGTTCCATTTGATAGGCTGTAATGCGTAAACGAAAAGATCTCCAAGTCCTCTGTCACTTCAAAATAGACTTCTGTATAATACACCAAATGATGAAGACCTACGTTTGCTTTAGACTATGTTATATTACTATATTAAATAACTTTTTCCTTAAAGATTAGACTATGTTATATTACTATATTAAATAACTTTTTCCTTAAAGATATTTTTATTAACAAGTTAACGCTAATCGACATACCCAAGGGTTAATGAATGGGAAAGTCCGACAGCATGCTTAAAATCTATTTTTTATATTATGAACTGTCCCACAAATACTAATATTGTGGACATAACAAAATTTACATTTCAGCTGTACGACGCAAGCTTTCAGTGGCTCGAATACTATGAAGCCGAACACACATTCTGTAAGTTTAACTGAATTCGATCAAAACATGACTGATTTTCTGCCTTCGTAAGCTAACATACATTCGAGAATAGTATATTAAGCAAGATAATGATGAAAACGTTATAAATTACAGTAATAGTTTTGTAAATGAAAGATATTTCTTTGTATAAATATTTAATCATTTATCAAATCATTATATCACAATGAACGCTTGGCACACCGAAGACGTCGATGCTATGGGTCCAACAGTAACTCGTAAGTAACATTGTATTCAAAATAGCGAGCACTATTTAATGTTTTCGAATAAGTAGTTATGAAACTAGGTCTAAAAATCAATAATATTTTTGTTTTAATTATTTTTGTCGAGTGTCCATTTATTTTTTTACTTTAAGTGGTTTGAAATTATCACATTTGAAAATATTATTTTATGAAACAAAAAATTGCTCACACCATATTTATTGTCAACGTTTTATTTAGGTTTTTAAGGCACTTACTTAATGATTTTAAAAACAGAATGTTAGTAACGTTGTTAATAACTATATAATATATAATACTCCCATTACTAGTGGATGTGAGTATCCCCACTACCCCATATCGTCCCGTGGGTATCGTAAGAAACGACAGAGGGACACTGAAACGGGAGATGGGCTGTAGCATCTTCCTGAAACAACTTAAAATGATGAAAACTGTGTTTGCCTATCTGCCTGCCAACCGTTGCAACGGCGAAATCCCCACTGTCCAGCAGTGCAGCAGAGGACTTTTATAGACTGTAATGGATGGATATTCCATTATACAAACTTTCTAATAAACTGAAAATGCTTGTACTAGAAGCGGTTAACGACAGTTCTGACCGCAGATTCTGAACCCAAAGTTTGAAACCAATTTTTTCTTCATCAGTCCGTCTACAGCTGGGCGTGGATCTTTTCGGTGTTTGTTTTTATAGAATAAGGGTGACAAACAAGCACACAGTCCACCTGATGGTAAGTGGATGCTGTAGCCCATAGACACCTACATTTATCCTCGATTAAGAACCAAAACGCAGATGCGTTGTCACCCCTGAGGACTAAAATGGAATGCTTCGCTTCCAGTAAAAACTAGTCTCCGGATCTCTATACTCACCATACGAAACACAGCAGTATTAAGCTGGTATTTAACGCTGGTACTCTGTGAGACGGGGTCTCACCCTGATTCACTATACTACTATACGACTTGTAGGAGTATTTGCCTTTAATTGCGCACCTTTGACGCTGCTCGCTGAAGCGCAATCTGGGTATTTTACGCCTGGCGTAAAGAGATAGTTATACTACCACCTATATAAAGTCATACGGCTCCACCAAATCAGTAATTCATTCATATCAAAATATACAAGGTCTCTCTATTACCAACTTTAAATATTTTATTTGACATAAACTGTATAAAAAGAGTTATAATGACATAAGTGATAATACATGGTTGATAATAACCCCTGGAAATGAGGTAGTAGCTTCCTAGGTGTATCTTAAACAAGTTTTGTAAATAGTTTGTACAACTTTTCTTATTGCATAATTCAATTTAAAAAAAAGTCCGGCTGGGTTTTTTGTAAGTTCTTCCAAGGACAGAAGTTTTTTCCGGACCAGTGGTAAAAATAAAAATAAGAATTACTTGTAATCTAATTAATTGAATAACAAATTATTCTATTCTATTTTATCCCGTTCCATATTATGATGGAAAAATTTGGGATGTGCAAGCTGGATCAGAAAGGGAATGGGGTGTACGGTGATCGCGGAGAATGACTTCGATTAGGCTTAAGATAAAGTGGACAGGGATGTGTTATGGCAAACACTGAACTTATTTGGTATGAACGCTGCGTTATACAGATGTTAAGGTCTCTAGGAACTTTGGGGCTTGTGCCAGGATCAACGAGGACTACTCGGACTGGTTTGGCATCCATAGAGGTGTCAGACACGGCTATGTAGCTTCTCCGTGGTTTTTCAATTATGGACCGTTGTTTGAGAACTTTGAAAGTTGAAGAATGTGGGTTAAGAATGCGCGAGTTAACCGTCAAATGCCTTTTGGACGCCAATGAACAATTAGTCATATTTGCGTCGGCGGCGGCTGAGTTTCAAATGATGGTTACATTAATGATCAGGTCATTAAAATAAAGAGGGATGAAAGTGAACGCAAGTAAGATGAAAGTGATGGGATTTTGAAGTAGAAGAAAGTAAAGTTATATGTGAAATAGGAATAGAAGGGGAGTTGGTTGAGCAAGTGGATGAGTTTGTGTATTTGTGATGTCTATTTAGGAGGAATACATATAATTAGGGTATACAACGACGAGTGAATGCAGGTAATAAAGTAAATGGCGCTCTACACTCTATTGTGAAAAGTCAGAATGTGTCAAAAAAAGCACGTATGGCAATTCATAATGGTGTGTTAGTTTCTATTTTAATGTATTAGTAGTGAAAGTTACGTGTGGCAGAAGATGCACGAGAGTAAAATGAATGTTGTAGAAATGCAGTGCTACGAGTATGGCTGAATCTGAATGCCAGGTTGGGAAATTGTGTGATAAGAAAAAAGTGTGATTTGCAAGATGATGTTGTGACCAGGATTAAGAAAGTAATACTTCGTCTGTTTGTTAGTGTAGAAAGAATGAACGAGGAACGAGTAACAAAGCAAATCTATGTTGCCGAGATGTACGACAGAGTCGGGAAGTGACGCCCTGGACGAAAGTTTATGAAACTAATCTGGCCCATTTTCAAAATTACCAATATAATGTAAATGGGCTAGATCAAAAGTATTCTTAACTGACGAGAATGTGCAAGTAGGTATAAGGATGTAAAGAAGTCGAGAGAGGTGTGTCAGGATCAGGCCAAATGGAAGTCCGTAGTGACTACCCTCTGGGCAACAGGCGTGAGTCTTTATGTATTCATATCCATATTATGATCTTTCTTAAAAGTTATAATTAGAGGCTGTGTAACATTTCGTCTTAGGTGACAATGCATGTATAGCATTTTTTGTTTGAAGTTTGTTGCAGGAGTCCATATACGATCTTTCTTCTTTTCTAGTCTTAGCATCAGGTGTACTGTTATTGTAGTTTGTTACTTCAATTTTTTTTATAAATTATAAGCAATTTAATAAACAAAAAATCTTTCTCAAAACCAAAGCAAATAGAAAGTGTTTAAGCTGGTCTTAATGACTTTCATAGGTCAACTAGATGTTGGCACTAGTCTAGAATCGACCTCGGTCTGATAAGAATCAACCTTTACAGTAAACTAAACCATATTAAGTAAGTAGACTTACGTGTAAGTAAGATTAAAATTAAACTAAATCTCAAGCGGTACATTATTGTTACATAGTTTCAAGACAGAATTATTAAAATACGTTTTCTTTGAAATTTTTCCATAGACATATAAATAAATGATATTAAATAAAAAATATGTTATTTGTATATTTTAAAAAAGTAATTAAACTAAAAACATACCTCTAGATTACCCTCAAGTTAGAAGTCACTACTAAAAGTGGCAAATCTTTTATATTTAATTTTAATCGTTACCTTCATGGTAGGATTGTCTCATGTATCGTACAAGCGTTTTATATCAAATGAACAAGGCCAGACTTTTTGTTGAACGTTACGTTACACAATTTGCCCAAGCCTCTCAGAAATGATACGTGGCTTGTGCCCGGCAGTGTGACGTATATAATAAGTTATTCCCAGGATAGAGGCACATAATATCTAAACAAGAGGTAAAGAAGAACTTTTAAAAGGTATTACACCACTATCTATCACTCCTAAGGCAAATGAAACTGGATATATATAAAACTTAAATCCTACAGAACCGAAGAGAGATCAGGCGCAGGACCAACCGCTTTACGTGCTTCCCGAGGCATAGGCGTGATACAAAACCAACACTCTGACTGCTACTGAGAAAATTTTGACGGGATTCGAACCCGGAACTTGATCAACAGTTGTGCTTGCGACCAGTGATGTCGTCAAATTTTGTAGTCGCAAAGACACCAAATACCTACAAAAATTTACAATATAAAACAAATAAACATTCGATATATTTAATATAACGAGCTTTCTTTTCTCATTTTCTTATTAGGAAAAACGTTACCTTCGCACTAGAATTTTCTCTTAATTTTAACCTTAATTTCACAAGGATATCCAGACGCGGAACAATAGTTTGTAGGCCGTACACTTACTTATTCTGTGCGGGATTCGAACCCGTGGTCCTAAACGCTGCAACTCATTCCTAAGCCACTGCGTTCAAAGTTTCAAAGTTGTTTTTCTTCCTTCATTTCACTGATGTTAAGGATTTAGCTTGTTACACGTAACTCAATCTAATATAGTTTTTTTTTTATATTTACAGGCGAAGTCAGTGCTAATACACCCCCGCTCAAAAATGGTGGTGAGCTACGGGAATCAGGATATCTTATAGCGGTCGGTTCTAGAACAGCACGGTAATAGAAGAAATAATACGTTTCTTTCTAGTTTGTTCGCTGTTTAAATTTTTATTTTACAATTTTTCTCTTATACCCGAAATATTTTAAGTAGGTTTCCTTAATAGGCGAATACGCGATAAATTAAAACTTAAAATATATTTAACAATTTCATAGAAGCCGGCAGTGACAGAACTCGCATACTGTGAATGAATAGCAAGCGCTTTCTTCCTGAGATACCTCGGGTCATAAAATACAGTTAATATAAAATAAATACACCAATTTTAAAGGCAAAGAGAAAAGGAAGTTGAATAGAGAATTCTTTTTTGGTGCCAAGAAGAAGCTTCCTAAGTCAGCATTGTAAAAATATATACTTCATTATTTTTCTTTAAGTTTTCTTTAATTTTACGAGAAATTTCCATGAAATTCCTCCTGCACTATATCTACAAAAATATCACTGCCAAAATTATGAAAATTAAATCAACAACTTACCATGTAAAACTAAAAATTATATAAACCAATCAATTGTGGCATTTCTTGGAGGAGGCCTATGTTCAGTAGTGGACTTGCGAAGGGCTGGAATGATGATGATGACTTATTTTAATTTAACCTGGTCTGGTCGCCTTGAAAAATCGTTTCCGGGGCAATAAGACTGTTTGACACCTTCTATTTAATTTACTTAATTTTGTTTTATGTAACATAATTAACGCACTTTGAGAAAGTAGTTTGTTCAAAATCGTTTACTAGAAGGAATCCCTATCTGTAATTTTTTATTCCAAAAATAATTAAAACTACGTAAATTAAAGTCACACTAAATCTGTACAGTCAAAACAAACTGAAACGGACCGTAACTTAAGGCAATAAGACTTTTAAGAGTGCAGTTTTATTTGTATTATTACTAATTCTGTCATTCAATAAAATAAAGAAAAATGTACTTTATTTCAAGCACGTAACGTATTTGCGTTCGTTGATTTGCACCGTGACCACAACATTCTTCCGGGATTAGTATAACTAATTTGGTAAATAATCAGTGCATAAAAATATTTAACTAAAATTCAGTGTATGTATTATGATTATAACATAATATACTAATTGGGGTGTCTGAGGGTGTGCGTTAATTACGTTACATATTGTATATATATATATATATATATATATATATTGATTATTGTGTACAGTATCAGACCATTTTTAATACATTTCTTTTTTCTATTTCTATCCTATCAAATATTTTATCAATATATTTTTAATAAAACTGAATTGTTAAGTAATTCACGCAAATATCTCATTGATGTCTTAATTTACAGGTTTCGAAGAAAACATAAAAACAAATTGGTATTCGTCGCCTTATTTGTCTTACTTTTAATATTATTTAGCCTGGCTATTGTAATGACAGCATTGTGTAAGTATCTAAGCTACATTTTACAACGTATATTTTTCCTAAATTAAAATTCGTGGCTATTCTGCTCTAATCTCTAGGCGTCGTTCTAATTGGCTATCGATCGTACGATTAAACGATGCGATTTCGTCGCACGATGAAAAAGATCATGCGATTGTCCAACAGGTGTCCTCGCTATAGTTCGCGCGATGCCACCGCGCCTTCACCACAACGGCGCCATTTCAAAAATGGCTGTTTACTGAGATACACAGTTTTTTTACTCCCTACTCGTCTCTGACTCGACTAATGGATGCCCTTGCGTTGCTCCGCTCGCGCGATGAAGCATTACCAATTAAGACACTGAGAAGAGATTTGTAGCTATGATTGCGCGATCGTACGATCAAACTCATTTTACGATCACTATTAAGCATTTCCTCAGCTCGCGCGATCACTTGCAAGCTTCAATAAGGACGCTTTAAATAAATGTGTGTTTAATCTGGTGCGAAATCGCATAATTTGCTCGTACAATCGCGGCCATTTCCAAAGACACCTTAGAATTTATATACTTTTTTTTACTAACATTTAAACCAAGCGGTGATTGGCTATCGAGTCTAGTACGACCAGAATACGAGTATATTTTTTTTTGACACAACCTCTGGGCTTCCTGTCGATCTTCATCACCTAGGCGCAAATTAGGTTTAAGTTGAGAAAGATGTCTCTGTGATGACGAAAATAGATAGCCTCTTTATAGAAGAATTAATGCGATCTTGAATTGTCTGACCTTAGATCAACAAAGAGAGATACATTTCCAGTGACGCAAAACTAAGCCAATGCTGTGCTCAACTTATTGCAATACCACACACACACACACGCATAAGTACATGCACTTAAAATTATTTCCCACCAACAACATGGTTTTAGATGCACATGTGTGCGCCTAGGAAAGGTGTATGCTTGAGTGAGTGTCAAGAAGTAATTTCTTATATTTACGCGAACACTACACATTTAATAATACTAGTTTTTACGAATATTATATATTAACTTTTTAAATACCCGTCGTTTCGGGCTCATGGTCAACGTCCAGATGCCATAGTTAACTGCGGTTACTATAGATTAAAATTATTAATTTTTGTTTCGATCTACACAGTATGAACGTATCTTGAAGTATTGGTTGTCTTGTATGCTTGGGTTGGGATTTAATTTTATTAATTAGAGTATCCCAAGCAGATGGTAGCACACAGCCGTCTTCTCTATTGAAATTAGGATGTTTTTTTTTGATTTTAATAGCCTCGCGAATCATCATTGGAAAGAATCGGCGTTCTTTAGAGAGGATTTGTGGTCTAACAAATCTGATGTAGTGACGGAGGCGATCCTGTATCCAGTTCATATCAGCTATATATTCTTTATCGCGGGTTTTAATTGATCTTTTACTTTGTCCTATGTAAGAGAGACCACATTCACAATCTTGTACACTCCTGCATCTTGTAGAGGGACATTACGCTTAACTGATGGTAAAAACTGACTAATTTTCTTCGGTGGCTTGAAGTATATTTAATGGAAGCGCGCTTCAAGATGTAGCCAATCTTTTCAGTGACTCCTCTGACATATGGCAGTACAGGAGGTACACGCTCGACTGTGGCCGACTTCACTCGTTCACTGTGACGTAGGTGCGGGACCCGAAGCTTTTTTCTGTTCCCGAAGCTGTGATAAGTGCTTACAGCCAACAAAAGTTATTGTATTTTAGAATTATAATCTGAAGTATCCATTACTACCGTGGCGTTAAAATGACCCAAAAAAACCCAGCACACTCCCCTTCTCAGTTGTGACCATGGGTGCTGTAAAGTGCTCTAAACGTCGGGTTTAAAAAAAAGTCAATATCCGCGGTAAAATCCGTAAAAACTAGTATCATTTATATATGTATCAAAAATTTGAGCATGGTTTCGGCGTCACTTAAAATATTGCAGAATAACAATCCCGTATTTGCCACTTTTATTGGAAAACCGTGTAGCGCCACTACACGCTTTTATAAGAATATCCACTATTAATATAAATGTAATAAAAAGGATGATTTTTAATTATAGTTCCCTTTAATTATTTAAATTTTGCTCAAAAAGTTGCTACCTTAAAAAAAATTACCCACGTATCATGGAGGCGTTTTACAGATATAAGACAAGGATTTACATTCGAACCCGGAACAATTACTTGTAGGCAAACACTCGTTGTAGGCAAAAACTACGTTGCGGGTTCAAACCCATGACTGCACTGCACAACCAAACCGTCGAATATTTTAGGCTTAATTTTTGCCTTTTGTTTTCACCACGGGCTTAATTGAATTAATAACATCAACAAATAAAAATTTTATATTCTAGATGCTCACCAAATACGAAATAAACCAATACCCATTTGCGAGAGCAAGGAATGCATTCGCTCTGCCGCCAACCTGGCACTCTCTATGGACCGCACCGTAGACCCTTGCACCGATTTCTATGAGGTAAGCATAGGCATGCAGGTTAGTAATCATTTTATATTAAATTGAATTATACCGACTAAGCTACAAATGCCAAAGTGCCATGTAGTGGCGGCGAAAGAGTTCAATACCCCATCTCAGTCCGAGGGTATTGCGGTATTCTTGGTAACAATGAAAAGTATTCAAAAACTGCAGTTACCAACCGTACGTAGCAATCTGAGAAGGAATTCCATGTTTAACAGTAGACTTTTGAAAGAATTTAATGAATAATGAATGAATGAAACTCCAAATCGTTTATTGTTATGCTTCGAAATACCTCATTAATTATTCATTACTTGTAAGCGTATATTGTCTTCTTAGTTCTTAATCAGACCATAACAGTACACCGCTGTGAATGGTGGATCGTTATGGTCTTTCCTCTTTAATGATTCCGGATGTTATTATATGAATTAATTCATAAATGTAGTCAAGATAAAGCAGGTCGCTTATATGTTCTTATCTTTACTTATATATATATATATATATATATATCATTAACATCATTATGGGGTATCTATATAGTTTCCTCATCTGGTTGGGTTCTATAAATATATAATTATAAATATTATATGTCATATCATCATTATTATTACAGACTTACAAAAGTCTACTGCTGAACATAACCCCCCTCCCCCCAATATTTGCGACAAGCACAATCTTGAGTTACCGGCATTTATCGATATCATGTCTTACCATATCGTCACTATCTAGAGGTGGACCGCGCTACACTTCACTTCACGACATGAGGCTGCCAATCGCAAACCTTTGTCTCTCTATAAACTGTCTATTGCTATTCAGATTACTGATAAAGGTTGAGCTGTGTCGGTTACTATTGATCTACTGCGAATATTCACGTTGCGGATTCTATCATGCAGAGAAACTCCGAATCACACCGGCTTTGATCTTCTTCATACGACCAGCCACGAAAGTACACGTCTTGATTTCATGATTAGTAATTAGAAACATTGTCTAACTACAATGCTTTTTGCAAGTATTCATGCGGCAACTGGGCAGAAGACCATCCCCAACCCGACGTGCACCGATCAAACGACTGGTTTAGAGACAAACAGACGAAAGTTTATATCGCTATGAGAGATTTTCTCGAAAAGAACTCAACGAACCATCCAAAACCAGTTCAGCAAGCAAAAGACATATATAAAGCTTGTATGGATGTCGGTAAGTTTTAGAAAACCTTAATAAATACGTAATTTTATTCGGAATGCAATGCACGTACAACAATAATTAATAAATCACAACAATCTACCCAAAAAAAAATGTCGAAGAACTCCGATCTTGGACATACGACCCTATAATATTGTAGTTCTGAATATATTAAGATGCTTACTATCAATCATCCGCCATCTGTAAGGAACGAAACATTCTTTTAATTCCTTACTATATTATTTTTTCTGAATCTACCTGAGCGCTCACATCACAATGTTTAATTACTCTACTTTTTACTATTTTAATAACATTACAAGTATCATTCGAAATGTACGACTATAATATCATATTATGGGATATGATATGTATGCCCAGATTTTTTTAACACCAATTTATATAATTTTCACATATGTTGTTTATTGATAACCACAGACAATGGCTGTGATAATAATTTATGGTTTTCACCTATAAGTTATTTTTTTCAGTGGGTCGAAAATTATCCTTTGGGCAGATAAGATCGTACACTAGTATCGAGTTAGAATAATCAAAACAAAACAGTATTTATATGCTAATCAATGCTTATTATTAGTTTGGACGAGTAAGATAGGAACTATTAGGTAATAAAATTAGGTAAGTAAGGAACTTAGGATATAATATCAGTTAAAAATGAATGCAACGCGTTTGTCGCGCAAATTGCCATCACATTTTTGGCACATTTTTACTGTTTCAACAGCTGTTTAACAGACAGAATAGCGCACATCTTCTTCTGACTTGTGAGAATAATATGTTCAGCTGACATTGTTTTCTTGTATTCTAACAGAAACAGTTATAATTGTCTTCGGCTTCTTCTGTGATCCAGGCTGAGTTCTGGTACTCCAATATTTATAGACCTTGCAATAGAAACACTTTCTTTTGCTAATCCTATAAACTCCGATATTAATATCTAATGTATCTACACCACCTATAATTCGGTTATACTGATGATGTCTATTTTCTGTTTGGCAGCAACTGAATATCAGCGTGCCTTTTGAACGGGGTGTACTCCTAACAAACAACATTTGACAACAGTGTAACTACGCTGTTGTTGTGCCATCGTACAGCGCAAATATTATCATTTGTGTCCAACCTGTAATTATAAAATCCTCTGGGCTGCTTTTTGCAAGACAATATCTCCTTTCCATACGATCCAGTATTTTCACATTTTTACGTTGCAAAGTAATCAGTAATCCAGAGTACCTGCGTGTGCATTCCGGATACCCTGGAAATGGACTTGAAGATTTGGGAACTACTAGTAGGGCAGACTAAAAGTACTATCTCAGCTGCAGCAAGCAACTTATGTCGTTTCAAGCAATTTATATTGTCACAGTCTGCCTCACTTGAGTCGCCGCCTGTATCGTACCCTCACAAGGCGGATTAATGTCCTCGTAATCAATTGAGTCCGGGGTTTTGATTATTTCGTTTGTAGAGAGCACGTGTCCGGACCTAGAAACGAAAAAATATGATTAATAAGCATGGGACGTGCCCACGGCGTCATTACCGAACCACAGAAATGTTTCGTTTGATTGCGATTAGAAAAATATATTTTATATGTAAAATTTATATCTATTTCTTTAAAACTCATATTCAGTTTACTGTAAAAATAATTTTGACAGTAAAGCAACATATTGCTCACAAAATACTTATATATTATGCACTGGGCCGCAAACTTTTTCCAGAAATGAACTTGTACGAACTTTACTAGTACTTGTCATTCGAAATGATTGTAAAGTAGAAATTATACTGAGCTATGCTTCGAAATTGTTCTTTTGTCTATCGGAAGTTGACGCTATAATAAAAAGTGCATTGGAAGTAATCAAGTACTTTTGGGTCGTTATAGACCCCTGGGCATATTTGGGATAAATGTACATTCCGAATAATGATAATGTTGAACCTACATTTATAAGATTTTATTTAATTACCTCGTTGGCTCTAATGTAAATTTTATAATTTTTACCTAAGGTACTTTGATTTCAGAAACATTAAACAAGCGTGGAATAAAACCAGTCATAGAAATATTAGATTCGTTGGGCCTACCTTCTTTCCCCACCTTAATCAATATAACTGATGATATAGATTACAATAACTACACATTTGATTGGTTAGAAACAGTCATCAAAATTAAAACCCAATTAGGAATGGATGTTCTGATTGGGTTTGATATCTACAGTGATCCAAAAAATTCTTCAGTATACCGACTCATGCTTGGTTCTCCAGAAACTACTAACCCTTTTCCGAGGTAACTGACAATTCGAAAATTTTCATAAACGCATTTCCACAAAAATACTTTGATTTTTTGAGGGTGTTTCCTTTTATTTTTTCAGTATGCATAACGAAAAAAAGCGTCATACAGGGAGAAAGAATGTGCATATTTTACTAATGTTGAAAACAATTTTAACTCATAAACGCTCTTTCTTCACTTTCACGAAAACATATGAATACGACAGCAAAGCTACAAATGACAATGATGACGAAAGAATAGCACAAATTTACAAGTTGTTTTATGCTCAGCTTATAAAATTATTTATTCTAGAATCAGAAAATGGTAAGGATTCAAAACTTTCTGAAGAAGAACTCGACCAACAATTACTAAAGACAGCTGATGCGTATTATAACTTTAATGAAAATATATATGAAGTAAGTAAATATTGTATTTTGTATTCATTTAACGGTACTGAGATCGGTAAACTTACCATTTTAAAACTTTTCCTATAGAATTCATTGATAGATTTATTGAACTTGTTATGAATTCACTTGTTCAATGTCACAAATATAAAAATACTTTTACCAGCTTGAAGCAACCAACGACACTGATGTAGAAGATGATTTCGATTTCAATTTACCAGAATATACTGTTGATGAAATTCAAGCTCACACCGATATGATTGTCGAAAATAACAGCGGAACATCTATGGCCATTTGGAAAAGATATTTACAAGGTGTTTTTAACAAAAGTAATGTGGAATTAAATTTTGAAATGGATAAAGTGATAGTTTCCGAATTTGATTTACGTTACATGTCTTTAATGGCTGCCTATTTATCAAAAACTTCTCCTGTTGTTATAGAACTTTATATTTGGATAAAGGTTAGTATCTTTTTATTATTTTCTGTGAGAAAAAATACCACATTGACAGATAAAAATAATTAAAAATACTATAGAAAAGATATACAATTCTATACGATAACATTTGTGTAAATACAGCTTTTTCTACCAATTAATGAAACGAATGTTACGGATTTTATCGCGTTTAATTTAAACTTTTTAACTCCCGGCCTTTTGGGTATTTTACGGCACTCATGGTTACAGGGATATTGGTTGAAAAAAGTTAAAATTAAACGCGATAAAATCCGTAGAATTAGTTTCACTTAACGTGTGAATGTTAGATACGCGTAAATATAAGAAATCATTACTCTTCTGTCAATCTCTGATGCACATATATTTATAATCGTTAATGACTTTTATAATATTTTTATTATACTTAGTAATGTGTAAATTTGCCAAGGTAGCCGAGGTGCTAGCGGTTCACACAACAACAGAAATACGTGCATTGTTTGATACATCAAATGAGCAACTACATTACGACAATGGTATTTCAAGTTCAACACCACGCAGCCTGAGATGCGCCAGCGCTGTAAATGATATGCTCGGAATGGCCGTCGCCTACGCTATTGTGGACCCCCATTTTATGAATGTGACCAAACCTAAGGTATTGTACATTTTTAAACAAAATATAGTTACAAAGTACAGAAAAAGAAAAGTATCATAAAAAGTAATATCTTGTTTCGTTTATAATAATATTATTGTGGATTTTATTTCTCAGCCCATAAAATATCAATAGCTCATGAGCCCTTTCAGTTGTGGGAAGGATTTGATTTAACCTTCATCCATGTTTGACGATCGCAGTAGCAGACATTTTGCACTTTGATGCTCTTGATAAAAGTTACTAAATCCCTACGGCATTAAAACAAATAACTGAAACTAGTATCGGTTCTTCTGAGAATAGAGTATTTGTATTTTCACTTAAGCCTTTTAAAATATTTTTAGATAGAATCAATGCTGAATGAACTAAAAAATGCGTTAGCCCATTTAGTAGGAAAAACAAAATGGATGGATGACAATACCAAACTAGAAACATATAAGAAGATAATTCAAATGAAAACACTAATAGGATTCCCGGACTGGTTGATAGACGAAAAGAACCTTGAGTTATATTATGAAGGAATAGAAGTGAGTGCAGATAAACATTTAGAAAATATGATTAACGTGATACAAGTGAAAGTAAGGAATGCACTCAATAATTTTCGGGAAATTCACAATTATTCATGGGCTACTGATCCTACGGAAGTTAATGCATATCATACATTCCAGTCAAATACTATAAGTAAGTTAGTTAATTATTAGTAGTAATAATTTGGTCTAGTATTTATTTTTTGGCTACCTTTACGTTAAAGAATTTTAATATAATTTATTGAGAAATCCTAGGTTTCTAACCGATATCATTAAAATTGAAACTTCTACTTCATTAGTTCGAAATCACAACACTGCCAAGTCTAGGAGTAAGAGCAATTTACTGTAATCTTCACGTTTAGCAGACGAATTGTTATTAAAGTACCATTTTGCTTGCACTTTTGACGCAGCTTGCCATCGCTGGTCTAAATATTATATTAAACCTGGCATATACAAAATGATTATACGCTCATCTTTTGGTAGCAAAGAATCTTCGAACCAAAATGCACTGCTGAAATTAGGCCTTCCCAATACGTTTTGATTGATATAGGACAGTGGACCCCTTACGCCAATACCACACGGCTTCAATTCCCCTTAACTGATTTATAGTAGTACTTTTACAGAACAAGATAAGGCGTACGACGTCATCACATTCCACTGAGTCTTAATACATCATTTTCTGTATAAAATATGGGTGACAAACGAGCCCACCTGATGCAAAGTGGATGCCGTGACCATAGACGATCTATCCTCGATTAAAAATCGAAATTCAGGTGATCCCCTGAGGACTAAGATAGTATACCTCATTTCCAGTAAGCAGTTTTTCTGATTCTCCACACTCACCATACGAAATACGGCAGCATTTAGCTGCTATTTCACGCTGTTATTCTATAAGAGCATGGTTCTTCCTCGGTTGAGTCGACACACTCGAACTACAACGATAATGTAGCTACAGCGTGGCTGTAGAGCTTATAAAATCATTTAAAAATATTGATAATTTTTGGACGCAGCTATACCAATGGTTATGTTACAATATCCTTTCTTCGACTTGGGACTAGAGTACGTATACTTATTATTCGTTTTTCTTCATTCATTCACAAATTATTTCAATGCACAATTTATTGGTTCATCAAAAGACAAAGAGTAATTTATTCTACTTTACATATCATACATTCCAGTATTTTGCAACTTTCTTTTAATCTTTGCTTAAGCTGTAAATGTCATCTTTTGTACTTATAAGTTTTACTCATTAAATTACTTAACTATTTCCATAAAAATACTTAATGTTGTTATTCCAGATCTCTTAATTATGGTGCTTTGGGAACTATATTAGGTCACGAAATCACTCATGGATTTGATAATTTCGGTTAGTACGTTTTTGCATTTCTATTTCCGATTCGCAATAAACTTTCTTTCAACACTCAAATCACATAAGTTCAACTATTCTAATAAACAATACTAATTGTAATAAAGATTTAACTCCACTATTCTTCTTATTGACAATTATCCAGTAAACTAAACTTCTGCCACAGTAGGTACTTATGATTTGTCATAATCATTAATTTGCGATCGTAGATTTCCTGCAACAAGGACCTTTGACACGGCAACGTTAGCGTCTCTTTTATTGCTATTATACTCGTATTTACGAGTAAATCCTATGCAGTCTATGTGTATATAATCTCTTTCAATGTTTTTTAAAACTTTAAAACAAATTTATACCATTTAGCAATTCATCAAATGTAACCTACTGCTGGCAATCGTAATGTAGAAGCTTCTACTAGTTGAGCTATCGCGTTTATTTTACTACTATTTTTAGTTCCCGACGTTTCGGGCGCTTTCCAGCACCCATGGTCACGGGGGACTGAGATGACTGACGTCCCAATGTCATTGTTAAACCCGGAGTACCTTCAGCGAAACGTCGGGAATTAAAAATAATAGTAAAATAAACGCGATAAAATCCGTAAAAGTAGTTTTAATCAAGGGAATACCTATGTTCAGTTGAGTTCTTGATGCGTATATTCAAAGTGGAATTGTGATAGGCTTCAGTAATAATGATGATGAGGATGTTATATGCAGCTTATAACTTTCAACTATCTTCAGAAGTCATGGAGAACGAAACCAAAACGAAGTATTTAAACAAAATCGCCCATCGCCTTGGCTGCTCCTGGGTGGGAACTATTAATGTGGCGTTATTTCGATTTAAAGGCCCTGATATACGCTCAATCTTACTTGCATATATATTCTAATTTGTATACAAGTAACATTGCAAGTATTGCAAGCAAGCATGTGCCTTAAGGCGGACAAACTGTATACCATGCTTATGGCTTGCACAAATGCTTAATTTGCTGAAACTAAAGTTGCACAAACTTTTATTGTTAATACGGCGTGTGAATACCACACGTGTTCTTTGATAAAACTTTGTACAAACTGTTCGCACATGCAAGACGCTATCGTGTGGACTTTGTGGTGCACCATGTTGTTTGCGCAAATTCTTTGCACAAATTTTTAGCACATGGAAGTTTCTGCGTGTAATCGGAGCTTAAGATAACCAATGACCATTTACATTTTCCCTTTTTTAAAAAAAGAAGTCATCAAGTGTATCTGAAAATATAGCCTAGATCACTTCTGGCATTGTCGTCCATCTATTTGTGAAGTTTCTTTACAACAAGACAGACAGACAAACATTATAATAGAATTATTATACCCGCTTATTTGTATAAGGCAGTCATTTCAATATTACAGATTGACACTTCAATTTTATTTATATGTGCATTAATGACTTACCCCTCATTCATAAAAACAATTTAAACACTATATTAGTTAAATAGTGTTTTGTCACTTTCTAGCAACAAGTGTCTCGCAAATGTCAGAGCGAGACAAATACTATTTAACTAATCAAGCGTTTAAAAATATTTATGAATAAGGGGGTTAGTGTTCTAACTAGAATCATTACACATAATAATCAAGGTGTGTTGTTTTAGTTTTTTTTTTAACTCTTGCCTTATGTTTAAATCTTTACAGGTCGTCTGTTTGACAAAAACGGAAACCTTTTACCGTGGTGGAGTAACGAAACGACGCAACTTTACGTGAATATGACCCAGTGTTTCGTCAAACAGTATTCCTCATTTTATTTCACTGATTTAGATGAATATGTAAGTTGTTTTTCTTCTTTCTATTTATCTATTACAGCATATATAATTCTACTTCAGAACAAAGGCCTCTTCTTTAGATTGCCTCATATTTCACCATATAATAATATATATATACATATATATATATATATATATATATATATATATATATATATATATATATGTGTGTGTGTGTGCGCGTGTGTGTGTGTGTATGTGTTGGAAACCGCAGTAATTTATTTTTATTCAGCTGTTATTAGAAAGCAGCGGCTGCCCAAATCCTGTTTTAGATTCCTTACATCGCCTCTTACGACATCCACAGATTCGATATGGTTCAGTGAACTACACTGCCACTACTCGTTAATTACTAAAATACTCGTTAATTATAAAATGGACCGTCCATTTTATAATTAACGAGTATTTTTTAAACAGGAGTGACAATGAAAGAACGGAGCAATGATAGAAAAGAAATACAAATTTCACTACATAATGACAACGCCATATCGTACATAACATTTCAGATTTCACTAAATAATACGAAACGTTGCTGAACCTGACGGAAAACGGTCACACTCAGGCATTTTGGGTGGCGAACTATAGCCTCTATTATAAGTGTGACCCGTTTCGTTTCTTTCGAATAATTCGAGCAATGGTCTATGTTACAAAGTTTTTTGTGATCTGCTACCAACTTTAAACAAAGAATACTACAAATAATAAATAAATAAATAACGTTTATTAGCAACCAAATATGTCTAAATACAAAGGAGCTCTGTCTCCTGAACTAGGTTATCACCTGTATCTCAGGAAACAGTGCCTTCCCTAATTCTTAGTTCTAGGTCTATATTCGGCAAGTAAACAAAAAATAGTTACATTTCCAAAAACAATTTTTTGTCAAAAAACATAATGGGGCCTCCTATACAGAAGCACAGCGCGTGAAGAACGACTCAACACTAAAATCATGTTTAGACTTCTCGCTCGCTTTGTTCTCCCCTTGCACCCCTCACCTCATCACGCACGGTGTCGAGATATTCACTTTGTTTCAACCGTTCACCATTTCAACCGTACCCAGTCTAGCCTATGGCAGATGACCGAGAGCTTCCAACCCCAGCTTGACAACCCAACTTGACTGCGGTGTGGAGCAACGGGGACTAGCGATTTACCAAAGCTGGTTAGAGAAATGAGAGCTTCTCTATAATTGTGTTCAGTTCTTCACAGCACACACCTGCAGTAATGCTCATCCCGTTTGGTAAGAATCTATGATGAATCACGTCGGCGCTAGACTAACAAACAATGACCATCACTTTTCTAGTGGTAAGTTTTCGTTTAGGGAATTGTTTAGGTGCTGTTCCAGGATCCAAACAACTTGCTGAGCGCTTGCAATTGTGAAACATCGTAGCAGGTAACATTGCAGTCTAAATTTTTATTTAAATTTGAATGCCTGTTGAGTAGTGCAAGGCAAGTCTCGGCGCGTATTTCGTGCTGACGATCATTGAGTTCGTGGGGCTCCCTTTTGTCAAGCTTTTGTACCTTACCAATTTGACGTCAATGAACTAATATTGTTTTGACAATAACGTCGAAAGCTGCTGCTAATTCAGTCGTAGATTGAGTATCATCAGCTACTACAATCGAATTTAATTTTTAATACTTCATTGTCGACCAAAGTTTTCGGACGACCACGGGGTTCATTTTTCAGGTTGAAATATCCAGAACGGAAGCGGGCAAACCAATAGCAGGTGGTGCTTTAGTTTGTAGTATTCGCTCCGAAAACGTCATTTATACTGTCTCTTGTGCCGCGATGCTGTCACGACGGTATTCATAATCGATAATTACCTGAATTTTTAGTTTATCTATGATGACGAAAAAGTATGAAATTCAAATGTAATGAAGACGTAACGCTAATCAGTAAACAAAAATACCATGTTTTAAAAATAATTTGAAATTAGAATTCTTATCCAAATAAAAATTATTTTGATTTGAAATGGCCAGTACCGCAGAACGGCAATTTAAATGGTAAAGACTACTGGACAGAATACTATTCAGACAATCTAAATAGGCGGAAAAGCTGTCGCAGTAATAGTTATAGGCCATTCAATTTGCGTAATATGGCAATAAAAACTGTAATAGATTATCTATAAACTACATCGGCTAATTTATTTTTAGCTTCCTTATCACCATCGTAAGCCCATAAGAAGTTCATTGCTGGCCTCAGACTTTTGTCAAATCAGGGAGTTTGTGTTATTGTCCATAGAATACCAGATAAGTCAATTTGCGAGCATTCACTGGACATAATTTATCACCTACATTAATTAATACACAAGTATCGAATCTTCAAACTGTTAAACGACCTATTTTACCTATTCTAAGCAATTCAGTGCTATCCCACCCGATAGTAATCGGTCATGCAGTCGAGATGAAGTAGTTAGGTTGTACCAGTTCTGGCGCACTTGTAGAAAGGTTGTACCAGTTCTGGCGCACGACGTTCATCGACTCACAATCCTAAAAAAAAAAAAAAAAGGTTTTGGCATGCTCTGATCACGAATCTGCGCCATTTTTGCGTAGGATGCACGGTTCCGGAGATGTGCAGATCAATTAACTCTTATCTAATTGATATCCGCTGCGAGCCTCAACCGTCATTAGCGCTCCATTGTCCTTATCTACTTATCTATTGTTGATTGACTACCGTCATTATCTATTATTCGTCAGCGTGTGGGTCGGCTTATGCTATTGTATTATACTCCTTTGTTCCTATCTACAACACTAATCTGAATCATCAATAAAACACATTACCTAATTTTGTTAAAATTTTTATTTATAAAATACAAAATCTTATTACTTATTATCTATAAAATAGGAGTGAAACATCTCATCCACTAACATATCGTTGTACAATGTGTTCTCTGTAAATATACTCGTAAAACTACGCATTGAACATCCCTGAAACCTATATAGCAAATACATTAAGCAATATTCGCCACAAACTGAAGTCCTATCAACATTCCAGTTCCATCTTTTAAACACATTACCTAATTTTGTTAAAATTTTTATTTATAAAATACAAAATCTTATTACTTATTATCTATAAAATAGGAGCGAAACATCTCATCCACTAAAATATCGTTGTACAATGTGTTCTCTGTAAATATACTCGTAAAACTATGCATTGAACATCCCTGAAACTTATATAGCAAATACATTAAGCAATATTCGCCACAAACTGAAGTCCTATCAACATTCCAGTTCCATCTTTTACAATTTCGTACAGGTGCCCGTCCATATGAATCAAAATATTCACCGACGTCATTCGTATCGATATATAAAGCTACCCAATGTGACCCTGGTTTATCATCTGTACCCAAATTGCATATTACCTAGTCAGGTCATAAATTCTATCACATGTTTAATGTAAAATAATTGAAACAAGTTTATTCATTATGTAACCATTTATATACCAAAATGAACTTAACAAAACATAGATTCTTATGACACTATAGTTTATTCAAAATGACCTCCGTAATTTTGAATACAGGCCTTCAATCTGCGCGGCCAGTCGTCTATCTCACCACGAACGAGGTCCATGTCATATCGGCGGCTGCCTTAATTAAAGATGTCTTGAGTGACTCGAAATTGGGATGAGGCTTTGAGCACGCCTTTTCCTCCAAGTGTTACCATATCTTGTAATCTAACGGATTCAAATCTGGACTGGTCTTTGTGTCGGATGAAGTCGATTTCACGCGCCGCCAGCCAGTTTTTTTTTTTTTTGTTTTTAAAGAACGTTACCTCCACACTAGGTTTTTTCTCCTGTATCGTGGGGGCAGTTTACAAACACAAATTTCACAAGGACAAACATCCAAACTCGGAACAATTACTTGTAGGTCGTACAAATACTTGTTCCGTGCGGGATTCGAACCCGCGACCCCCAAGCGCAGCCACTCATTGCTAAGCCACTACGCCACGGAGCTGTCAAAAGTCTTGTGTGCTCTTCGCTCTATGAGCTGACACCGAATCTTGTTGGAATACCCAGTGCCTGTTATTGAACATGGTATGAGAAACAGGTTACACAAGGTTCGTCAGGACTGTATTTTGATACACAACTGCATTCGTTTTTAACCTTTCTCACAAAAATGTACCTCTGTTAAGCCCCAATAAGAAACTCCCAACCATACCATGAGCGAGGATGGAAAATGACCTCGTTGGACACGCGGAATACGGTTGCTCGCTTCTTCACTACTGTGTGCGTACACCTTATCATTTTGTTTGTTGTAGCTTTCTTCTACGGTAAAAATTTTTTTATCCGAAAAAAAGAATTTCCCGATATTTTTTCCCCGCGTACCGCTTCACCAAAGCGCGGCATCTCTTCAGTCTCAGATCCATTAGACGAGCATTCAAACGATGTCCTGTTTTTCCTCGATATGCCCGAAGCTCTAAGTCTTCATTTAACGCCGTGGTTCTGCTTAACCCCATCTGAAGGGCCAACAGTTTCTGCTTACGTTTGGGATTTCTTTGAATTCGCACCTTTACAGCTTTTATCACTGCTGGAGTCCTAACAAATCGAGGGCGACCACTTCTTGACCTGTCATCTACACTAGAGTCTTCATTGTATCGTTTGATGGTACGATAAACGAATCTTTTGGTTATATTCAAATTTTTCAGCATATTAAAAAATTTAATTGGCGCGTAATCGCAACTGCAACACGGTCTTTTTTAAGCGTTCACTCCATATGTAAAAATGAGTAAAATTCTAAAAAGTATACAGTTTTATTTTCATGAACAATTCGAATTCAATAAAATTTTTTGTGGCCAGCATTCTAAAAGAAAAGTTTTTACTGTGTGACAATACTTATGACCTGACTAGGTATATACGTTGGTACGTGGGTGTACATGGGCAGTCTGTTAGCAGCATAAACATTATTTTCTAGACTGGGGTGAATCTTTTTCAGATGTTGTTGTACATCTAGTGTATCCATGATATTACTGCTATTAGTAGATTACTACAGTACAATCTACTCAATGACTAACATAGG